AGTATTCCGTGGGGAATTCGAGGAAGGAAGGAGCAGGAAAGGACCTGGAGTCCGGTAGCCTGGGAAGAAGGAGGGAAAGGGTGGGAAGCATCGCGAGTTTCAGGGAACCCGATTCACAGAAGCAAGCTCCCTCTCCCCATTCCTTTAGTTCTTCAGAAAGCCGAGTGGGCATCCTGGGAGGGGCGAGGTACCGAGGAGCGAGCGCCCAGCTGGGAAGGGATCGCGCAAGAGTCCGAACCTCCTCACCTCGAGGGAGCCACCTGGCAGGTAGCGCTAACCCAGCTCTGAGAGTGTAGAAAAGTTTAACGGTAGATTCTCGTTCATTGTTTTTCCCAGGACCGGAAACGAATGGTGGTTTGGTGGTAGATCATTGCCGAGGATTTCGGATTATTAAAAACAAAACAAAACCCTCCCAGGCTCTCACAAATCTGGAGCAGGGAAAACAGAAACCGTGTTTCTTCTTTGGAAGGGCAAGAAGGTGTGTAGTTTTAAACGAGTAAATGCGAATTTCGTAACTCAAAAAAGTACATTTAAAGAAGGGAGGGGAACTCTCAGTTATGGTTAGGGACAACTGGATTTGAGACTTTTCAAGGAAGGGGCACCGGGAGATGTCACTTACTCACCAGCAGGTGGCGCGTTTTCTTTAGGATTGCGGCCCCAAATCTCTGGATAAAAAACATCGCAGCCAGACTTGCTCCGAGATCCCTCACCGGAAATCGCTATGCAGATAATAACCCTCCAGTGTCTGGAAATTAATTACCGCGAACGCTCATTCTTCCAGCGCCGACCGCCGCCTGTGTAGCCGGTCAAAGACGTAGCGCCGCGGGTGTAGTAAGGTAATTCTGTCCGCAGGGTTCCCCCCTGACTATACATAATTCCGTTAAAATAACTTTTCTTCATCATCTGCAGTTTGATTAGACACTGTGTCCTTTCTAATACATTTATTTCCACCTTCGGATAAAAAGCAAATTCAGTAATCTCAGAACGTAGATCTGTCGAAAGTAATTCTAGCAACTCATATTTGTACAAAAAGTAAAGACTGACCACAGCTTCTGCACACATTTCACAGTTGATCCTCACAATTTAAGGCGTGATTTTCATTCCATTTTACCGGTGATAGTGTGGCCAGAGTTCATGAAATTCCACAGGAATTTTCGTGCTTCCTAAGTCTTCTCGTAAACCAAGGGTAGATATATATGCATGTGTGAATTGTTTTATTTATTAAGGTGACAAATAGTTACAAGATACTTATGTGCTCATAAAGATCTCAGGAAACGGGAACTGCCTGGGAAAACAGCTCACTTTCCCTTTCAGTTTTGATACTGTAACTTGCCTGTCGCTGTCACAATAAACACTGGCGCTTGGGTTCACCTGGGATCTATTCTCCTAAGACCCTGGAGTTGCTTGTACCTTATCAGAGCGTGTTATCTGCACAAGTGTGGGTGGATGTTGTGTTACATACCTCCCCGCTTAAAAACTTCCCGCAAAGCTGGATTTTGATCTGATTGATCGTAATGGTTCCAGAGGAACTATTGAGCCATTACAATCCATCATCTAAATGATTACAGAGGGATACCTAAATCTCTTGGTTATTTGAAAGCTCTACATGCTTAAAGGGGGGTCAAATGAGCAGACCCCCAGTTGTCCACAAAGTAGTTACAGGAAAGCTTGCGCTGGAAGCAAAAGTTCGCAAGTACTAAGTAAATTTCATTTTTTAAAAAATGAGGTCACTTTAGTGTGGTTGGGAAGTGAGGAGAGGTGAGGTTCATTTTTTATCCAAAAACACCCCAGAGCAAAATGGGCCACGTTCTAGTTAATTTTCTGGAAACTGCTCAATGTTCACTCCAAAGCCAGGTTGGGGCACTTTCCTTCCCAGCAAGCAGGAGTCGGGAGAGGGTCTGGGGTTGGGGCCGGGAGTCCCACAGAGGCTGTCACCAACCCAGACTTGCCCAGGAAAGGCGGCAGCGGCGAGGGCTCCCTCCGCGGCTGGGGACAGTACAGCTAACGACTCGGTGCCGCGGGCCGGCCCGAGTATGGTTCCATGCTGGACCCCACCGGCACTAGTGGCGACTAACTCGGACCGGGAGGCCTGGTCACTCCCATGGGGGCATTTCCTCAAGGCTGCTCGGTCCCAGACTCGGGCGCCCGCGATTCCTCCCGGCAGGCGGCAAGCGATGAGTAGGGGAGCCGTAAGGAACAGTGACAGAGTTTGCGCGGGGTCTGGTCCCCAGATGGAGCCCGCAGGTTCAAAGTGAGCAGAGGCTGCAGCCGCGGGAGGCGACTGCGCTGGACGCCCACGAATGGGATGGGCGATCAGACTGGAGTTTTGCCACCTTCACTGGGCTCCGAGGCCACAGGGCGATTGGGTCCAACAGACCGAGGACGTTTACCACATTCGAACGTCCTTGTGAAATTCTAAATGAATCTGCCTTCGCTGAAAAGTAACCTGGTAGCCCTTAGGTGTCCTGAGTCTTGCTCTCCTCAGTCTATCTAAGCTGCAGTCCAGGTGCAGTGTGGCAATATGGACCCAGCTTAGTCTGATCAACTTCTAATGAGGGAGGGGATGCCCCCTTTGCACCCCTCGCACAGAGCAGCAGAGGGTTTCTTGGCTTCTTGGGTTTCTTTCTGCATGTGGGTCCAGAGGGAGCTAGGATCTGATCGGTCTCCACTGGAGACTGAGGTCAGGGTTTTGGGCTCACCCTCCTTGGGAGCACAGATTGGGATGGAGGACTCTCCAGCAATTAGCAAATCTTGGAATTTGTTATCCTGGTTGTCTGGGGTTGTTCAGTGTCCGAGACTAGAAGGAATGTCCTTGAAGCCAGGTGTCTGAAACAGGCCCAAGGCTGGGCGATGCCACTGTCCTGCACCTCTCTCTCATCTTGTCCTGTCATACCTTGCAGACCAGCTCCAGTGGAGGCCACCCGAGAGGCAAAACCTGAGAGGCTGGGCCATGAGGGGCCAACTCCAGCCTTGCATTCCCATCTTGCCCTACACCTGCTAAGTTTCTGGATTTGGCCTGAGTCAGGGTCAGTTTTCCAAATAACCTGGCAAAAGTGGCATTAAACAACCTGGTTGCATGACCCTTTCTTTAGGATCCCTAAATACTCTCTCCAAGAGCTCTTTATGGATCCCACTTTTGTGGAGATTTCTAGAAGTCTCTGAGACATGTTGGCCAAGGGCCCTGATTCAGAGGAAGGCAAATGAAAAGACGGAGGAAGCACAATTACATGTGTGGAGGTCTGAGCAAGAGATGGGGTTTGTAAACCACAGAAGGCTCCATCCTCTTTGAATGTCTTCTTCTTAGGGAACATTTCCCATGTGATCTGGACAGCCAGATGCCCCACTGTGAAAGACTCTGGATTTTTCATTGCTGGTAATGAAAGCTCCCAAGCTTTGTCTCCTAGGAGAGCCTGAGACTAGTGCATACAGATTCCCTGGCCCAAAGTCCCACTACCATCCAAGAATGCCCTGCTGGACTTTCCTTCCAGGCCTTCCTCTGCTCTTGGAACTTGCTGCCTTGGAATCTCAGGAAAGGGAGTGATCTCAGCTCCCTCTGTTCCCAGGGGGCCTCCCAAGGGCCAGAATGTCTCCCCATGCTGGCAGTTACTAGGATTCCAGCAGCACAGGCAAATTGATATGGGTCCCTCACTCTAGCACTAACCTGTGGCAGGGGGTGAGTGCAGTCCCTTGGGGCAAAGGCTGCACCCCTTTTTCCTCTTCCCTGCCCAAGCCAAAGTTGCCTAGGAGCTGGAGGCCAGGTTCTGTTCTAAAGGTCTGGGGATAAGACCAGGATGCCTATTTCTTCTGGGGCCATTTCCAATTACCACTTCCGTAGGTCAGGGAATCAGGACTCTAAAAAAGTCAGCTCAGACTTGCAGACTGAAGCTGCACAAAGTGGACACAGTACCAATATGTTAGAGACCCACTAAGGCCAGGATCCAGACCTGAGGGCTCAGAGGGGTCACTGGGCAGCAGCCTTAGGCCAAACCCCAGGAGTGCAGTGGTGTAAATCTGGACCCACACAAGCTGGAAAGCCCAGCTCCTCCTCTGGGAACCCAGGGCCGCCTGTTCCCGAGAGGTGGCCAGGAGGGTTGTGGGCTGGGGTCAGCTAGAGGTCAGCGCTCAGAGCCAAGCAGTCAGGAGGGTACCAGCCCTCTCCCTAAAGCATAACCAGTGAAGACAGAATTTCTCGAAGCCAGAACTCTGACCCCACTTAGATCCTAAACACCACTTGAACCAGCTCCTTGGACTCAAAGGTCCTGAAGCTGAAGAACTTTGCAGTTTGAATCGCGTGCCTGTGCTGCTCTCTTCAAGGAATGAGAGAACAAATGAATGCATGATTAGAGGGTGTGGATGCTAGGTTTTGGGTCCTAGGAAAATAACTTTCTTGACCTCCTCCCCCCACCCTCTGCCTCTGATCTTTCTGGCGAACTACATAACCCAGGGTTTGGGGTCAGCCATGGGCATTGGGTTCTGGGTTACCATCCTAGCGCTGAGCAGTCTTGGATGTCCAGGAGCTGCTCCACACAAGTAGGGGTTTTGGTAGAAGAGGCTACCCTGCCGGGGCCAAACTGTGCTGGAGCGCAAGCTAAGGCGCAAGGATACCGATGCACCGCCCCCACCTCCCTGAACCTTGAACAGGCTGTGTCCTAGGCGCGCAGTAAGGGGATCTCGAAATGCGCGGTTTCAGCCCGATTTCATCTGCTAGAGGATGTTTCCTGTAGTGCTCCTGGGGTGATCTCGTGGGCTTAAAAACGCAGGAAAGATCGCATAGGACTGAAGAGCAGGGGACACAAGTCCCGGGAGGCCGGGACCAAGCGAGCGCCGCTGCCAAAGTCGGCTGCCCGGGTCAGCAAAACTTTGTTTCTCGTGCGCAGGCGCAGGGCAGGATGGTGGGGGGGGGGGTGCGGCGTGGAGGGAGGGAGGAGAGGAATCCTGAGGCAAGGGGAGGGGGGAGGGGGGAAGGAGGAGGGAGGGTGGTGGATTAAAATAAGTAGGCGGCTCGGTGCTAAGGGGTGAGTGAGTCGCAGCTCCGTCTCTCCCCTGTACGTTCTCAGCGGCTCCGGGTTCAGACCCACCGTAGGAGCCGCGAGAGAGGTTCACCATCGCCGGGCCGACAGGACTCTGGGGCCGCAGAGCGCTCCCGCGTGTCGGGTGCTCCGAGTCCTAGCAGCCAGAGAGGGGCCGGGACTCTAGAGCTCCGGGGGTGCCTGTGGAATCCAGCGCCTCTGGCTTCCTGGGTCCCCCGCAGCGAGAGCCCCAGAGACGCGCTCAGCACCCGGACCACCGTGGAATAAGGTAACTGCAGCTCTGGGCACCCCGGCTTGGCTAGGGGAATGCGGGCAGGAATCCGGAGTCTCCTGTCACAGCGCGTCGGGTGTCTCCTCTCTCCATGTCTCGGAAAGAAGCTCCTCTTGCCTAACGAAGGCTGCAGCACCTTTGTGAGAGTAAGAGCAGCTGCAGCCCAGGGTGGTTGAGGGTGCTGGCTCAGGGACTTCCCGCGCGGAGTCCTCGGCCTTTGACCCTGGGGGATGAGGGGGCGGGCCTCCACTACTGCCCCCAGCGCGGCGGGGCTTCGTGGAATCCCAGGCGAAGTGCCGTGGACTTAGGAAGTCAGCCTATGGGCCCCCTCTGAGAAACCTAAGCAACTTCTGCGGGCACAAACTTTCTCGAGACGCGCGCCTAGCTCAGCCTGACCTAACTTAGCTGACAAAGAAGGAAGAGAGAGTAGATGGATGGCCACGGCCACAGCCGCCAGCGCCAGGGACAGGTGCATGCCCCAGCCGGGTCGCGCTTTCGTGCGAGTTTGACTTTTGCGGAGTTGCGCTCAGGTATGGGGTCGGCTGGATCCGGGAGCGCAGGGCTGCGTGCCTGACCCCGCCTCGCACTTGCGCTCTGACTTCGGAGTGTTCTCTATCCGATGATTGCTCTGTGCGGTCAGGGCCTGGAGCGTAACGTGCGACTGTCCCCGCGAAAGGAAGAGTGCAGGGGGCGCGAAAACTACTTCCCAATTAAAGACCCGCACGCTGCAGTAGTGGAAACACTGTGGAGCCGCGGGTGTCCCCAGTTTCGGGCTTGGAAGGGAAGGATTCGTTTGCTCCCTTGACTGTCTCCCTTCAGGAGAATAGGTGGGAGCAGGAGGAGAGAGGGAAAGAGGTAAGGGGCTGCCTGCTGAACTGACTTCTCTCCTGAAACTTCTCTGATAAGAGAAATGAAAACTCACAGCAAGTCCCTTTTCAGCATCTCGCCTACTGGCGCGGCAGGCTCTTGGAGTATAGAGTAGCTGCGACGGTTTCTTTGTTGCCACAATTTGGTAAATTTCACCCGGGCTAAGAGCTGCGCGCTGGCTCTTGGGAACAGAAACCACGTGCAAGGCTAGTTAATCTCCCAGGTTCACGGTCTCCTAGAGAACAGGGGGCTGGCAAGGACGCGGGGGGCAGGGGGGCGGGTGTAGGGCGACCAGTGGGTAGATGTTCTACCCGAGGCTCCTTGAAGTAATTGCGGTTTCAATATGATTGGGCAGGAGATCGCTAAGGACGCAGTGGTCATTTAAATACAGCAGGGTGGCCGCCTAGCCGAAGGGTTCGTTCGATCTGTTCGTTGGGAGAATTAAACAGAAGTATCTCTTGCTGGTCAGTCCTCCCGCCGAGGGTCCAGACGCCTGTCACCGCGGTGATTCGATGTCAAGGATGATTTTCTGGGGCTGCTGCTGGGCTCCTCCAGGCGCAAGCTCGTGGAGCTTGCTCCGTCCTCATTAATGCAAGCAGTTAACTTGCTCACGCTCAATTAGCCCCGAATAAACCACTTTAATAGACTCTGCACACTTCATTAATGCCCGACATAGGGCTGGCGGCAGACCCGGGGTTGGCGCTCCACCGCAGAAGGTGTACAGTGTCTGCACCGCGTGGAGACCCGGGCTTGGAAGCGCGAATTGCGATTGTTGCGCTTAGTCGGCACCTTTACCCGCACCTTCCAGGTTCCGAGGTCCAAACTCCTTGCCGAATGGATGCCTGGCCTGGGGCCTGGGGAGAGGTGTTTCGTCTCCTGTTTAAAGATCTAAAGCGTTCACGCTGGGGTTCCGGGGTCAGGGCAACGGGAGCCAGCGGGGCTGGGCGTTTGCTCTTCCTCTCCGGCGGGAGAGGCGAGTGTGAGGCTGTGTTTTTCTCTTAGCTGACCGCCTGAAACCGGATCGTGCATTCGGCCCATTCTTGGTAATACTAGTGTAGAGAGCCACGTTTCGAACGAATTTCGTCCCCGGGAAAGTCGTTGGCGAGAGCCTGGGGAGCCCTGGCCTCGGAATGCGGCAGAAAATAAACTGGCTGCGCCGCTGAGGAAAATAAATTGAGTGTTGGGGGAAACAAGATCGGGCAGATAGCCCGGAAAGGTTGGCTCCCGAGAACAGTGTCGGCTGCAAGCCCCCCCTCTCTTTACGGAGCCCATGGTCTTCTCCGTTCCCGGGGGTGGGCGAGGAAAGGCCAGGTTAGCACGTGCGGTTGGTGGGACCTCCCGCCCTGCAAGGAGCGGGCTCGGGCTGGGGCTCGGGCCCGGGTGCAGCCCAGCGTCCAGCCGCCATCGCCGGGGATGGGCCGAGCAGCTAGAGGAACCAGTGGAGGGCCCGGCGGCGCCCGGCGGGCCCCGGGGAGCCAGAGATAAGGATCTGATTTCCAGCGCCTGAAAGGGAAGGAGAGGTGACAGCAAATCAAAGAGTGCTCACCTCGCCTAAGTCTGGGCAGACCTTTGAAGTCACCTCTTTATACCCCCTCCCCCTTCCCAACCCAAATAGGCTCCAGCTTTCTCTCTGACCCAATTCGAGTTTTGCTTCGCCGTGTCTCAGCGCTGTAGGATGGTTTCGGGTTGTCCCTGGTCTGACCCCTGATCCACACAGTAGAGAAGTGCGGAGGCCAGGGCACTGCGGCCTGGGTCTGAGCTCCCAGATTTGTGCCTCCCTTAGTCTGGAGGCTGCATTAATTGCTGCGGTCTGACTTGGTTTTTATTCGACTGCTACTTTAACCTGCACAAGCAAATCTCTGTGGGCTCTCGGTGTTTTGCACCCTCTACCCACGGCTAAACCTCTTTCCTGACCTCCCACCACACAGCGAGTTGACCTTCCCCAGGGTTTCCAAGGGAAAGGGTTTCTCGGTCAAAATTGTCCTCTCTCTTCCGGGGAACAGCACAGCACTGCCCTCTCATTAAAAGCTTCCCAGTAGTGAGAGGCAGCTGAGTCTAGGCCTGAGCCTTAGGGGCCTGGGCTCAGGATAAGCTAGGCGGGGTAGTGTCCGAGTGAGCTGTGAAGGAGGAAGCAGAGCAGGGCCCTGCCCATCCCAGGGCTGGGGATTCACTGTAGTTTGGAGGAAAGATCTGAAGAAGAGAAGAGGGAAAATAAGGAGTAAAGGAAGGAGGGCAAGTTGAGACAGGCAAAGGAGAAGTGCACCCCAAGCACTCTGCTCCCACAGGGACACCTTGAGTTGGCGTTCAGCACTTCAGCCTCCCCAGGGCTCCTGTGTCATGTCGGCTTTCTTTTTTCTTGTTTATGCCTTCATTGGACAAACCTGAGTTAAGAGTGTCTGGGAGGCATCGACCTGAAAGTTCTCTCTACAGAGTCCAGACCTGTCCACAGCGGCTGGGGACCCTGACTAAGGGTCAAGGAGGCCAGGAGGTACCAGCCTGCTCATAACATCAGCACCGCTTCCCTCTGGCCTTGCATTTGGAGGGTGCATAGCCCATAGCAGCTGAGGCCCAGCCTCAACTCTCTTGCTCCCTGGCAACCCACCTGGCCAGGGGGCCCACCAGACACACAAACATCCTGAAAACCCAAAGGCCCTGCCTCTCTTCTCTACCAGGTAGGGAGGATGCTGAAGCCCCCTCTTAGGTGACTGCCGATGTTTGAGTTAGTAAATAATTGTGGGTGTCAGTGTCTTCGCAGAAACAAAGGTGATCCATCCCCAAGGGCTATGGAAGGGAGTCCACGCACGCAGCTGCAGAGAGGATGGTGTCAGAAGGACTCATTAATAGTGAGGCAGAAAAGCAAACTGGAGGTCAGAGTTGAGAGTTGTAAGGAGAAAGATGACGTGGCTTCTAGAAGCCAAATTGAAGGTCAGATAGTAGAGCTAATGCACAGGGCCGGGGAGATGTGTGGGTTTATACGTGTGCTGTCTGTGAGGCTCTTTGTAGGTACAGTGTGATCCTCTGTGTGTGTGTGTGTGCTCCTTCTGCTTCTTGTATTTTGTTTAGGAGCACAATACTGGTCATCCCAGTTTATCTTTGCACCTTGTTGTCATCTCTGCTTCAGAATGTGTGAATCTGTGTTTATCTGTCAGTGTGCATTTCTGTGTTTGTTTATCTGCACATGAATGTGTAAGTGTGCTTCCAAGTTTCTGTTATCTTTGCAGGAGAGTGTAATTCGGTGTTGACTCAGGCTTGCCTGGATGTAAGTCTTTACACGCCAGTTTCCCCGTGCTTCTGCCTTTCTCAGTGTCCTGTACACGGTAGACCCTCATTTTAAGTTGGTTGTTTTGCATAGGATTTAGTTTGGTTTCTGTATCAAGTTGTGTGTCTCTGCCAGAGGCCATTTGGAATGAGTCCTTGGATAAGAGAGGATTCCTGTCTTCCCTGTGAGGGCAGTGAGTTCCATGGGTGGGGTCTTAGACTCCCAGCTCCTGCTCTGGGGGACAGAGGGTGTGGCTGGGCTGGAACTCAGAAGGAGGGCACCTACCCTGAACTTCTCTTTTCCTCTCCCCCTTCTCCTCTCTCCTTTTCCTTGCAGATCGAGATTGAGAACATAGTGAGACTACCGCCATGGGCAGCAAAACCTTGCCAGCACCGGTGCCCATCCATCCATCCCTTCAGCTCACCAACTACTCCTTCCTTCAGGCAGTGAACGGCCTGCCCACGGTACCCTCGGACCACCTGCCCAACCTGTATGGTTTCAGTGCATTGCATGCTGTGCACCTGCACCAGTGGACGCTCGGCTACCCGGCCATGCACTTGCCCCGGTCCTCTTTCTCCAAAGTGCCCGGCGCCGTGTCCAGCCTGGTGGACGCGCGCTTCCAGCTGCCCGCATTTCCCTGGTTCCCTCATGTCATCCAGCCCAAGCCCGAGATCACCGCTGGAGGCAGCGGCCCCGCGGCGCTCAAGACTAAGCCGCGCTTTGATTTTGCCAACCTGGCCTTGGCCGCCACGCAAGAAGATCCGTCCAAGCTCGGCCGCGGGGAGGGTCCCGGCTCCCCCGCCGGTGGGCTGGGCGCCCTCCTGGATGTGACCAAGCTGTCCCCAGAAAAGAAGCCCACGAGGGGACGCCTGCCTTCCAAAACCAAGAAGGAGTTCGTCTGCAAATTCTGTGGCCGCCACTTCACTAAGTCCTACAACCTCCTTATCCATGAGCGGACGCACACAGACGAGCGGCCCTACACCTGCGACATCTGCCACAAAGCCTTCCGGAGGCAAGACCACCTACGAGACCACAGGTGCGGTACTGGGGCGGGGGAAGGCAAAAGAGAGCCTTCTGTCTGCCTCTTGCTCACCATCCTCCCTAATGAGGAGGTTCTGAGACCCCCTGCCGACTCCAAGCCTCCTGAGTTTCCGGGGTTCCCCACATCTCGAATGAAAGCATACAAGGCTCAAGGAAGGGCTCCTGGAGCATGGGTGGAGAGAACATGGGATGAGTAGGACTTAAAGTCCCTTCAGGCACTCACAGCTTCCTCCATCCGCAGCGCTTGTACAATAGAATTTTCTGTGATAATGGAAAGTGTGACACGTGACACGTGTGACAGTTGAGCACTTGAAATAGGCAGTTAGTGTTACGGAGAAACTACTTTTCAGTTTACTTAATTGTAATTTTAGTAACGACACATAGCTGATGGCTACAGTCCTGGACAGCATAGCTTCAGCAAAGTGTCCCACCCAGGTCCCCTCACTCACCTTCAGTGTTGACTCAGGCCTTACAAGGAGGCCGTGCTGGGCTCTGGTCAGGAAGACAGGGGTCGATCTAGCTGGAGCCCTGTACCGCTCAGACGAATCAGATGTTGCCGGCGTCTCCTTGGTCTCCCTACTCCACCTCCAAACTCAGCGTTTGCTCGCTTCACACTAGGTACCCCACAACCTCCTCTTTTTCTTTTTTTGAGGTTAAGTGCCTCGTAACAGTGGGAGGGGATCTTGGACAACTGTGTATAACATTGCATCATTTTGCAAGGATTAATTCTGGGTCTGTTTTTGCCCTCAGATATATTCACTCCAAAGAGAAGCCTTTCAAGTGTCAAGAGTGCGGGAAAGGATTCTGCCAGTCCAGGACTCTCGCTGTCCACAAGACACTACACTCACAGGTGAAGGAGCTCAAAACCTCCAAGATCAAATGCTAAATAGAGCCTTCGGGTCACCAGGACCCTGGGTCACGCTGCCCCCTCCTCCAGAGGGTCCAGAAGCCGAAGGCGACTCTGGCGGGCTGCGGGAGGGGCTCCCTGGACCTTCCCCCACCCTAAACGCGTCCCCTGGGTCCCGGGCGCACGCGGAACTCCAGAGCCCCGCCTCGGGGCCGTGACCCCGGCCGCCCGGGCGGCTCCCCCAGGACGCGGCTAAACTCTTGGCCAAAAGGCGGTACTCACGTGGCGGAAGGGAAACTGCATTAAAAAAAGAACGAAAGCTTCGCGGAGCCGCAGCGGCGCCTCTCCCAGAAGTATTACTTTTTCTATTGTTATTTTATACGTTTTCTTTATTATTTTTTTCTTTGACCATATAAGCTTGTAACTCTGACTGCGGAGAGAGAGAGGGGAGAGGAAAAGAAGTTCTGTGCTCTCGCAGCTTCCACCCCCCCTCCTCCCGCCCCCCATCCTCACCCCCCGGGAGCCTGC